GATTCCCTTGAGGCATGGGACAGCCTGTGCAAGGGGCCTGTGGTGGTTTGAAGGCCAGCCATGCACACCCCCCTCCCCGGTGACCCAAGCAGAGGCCCTTGTTTCTGGAATTTATTTACCTTATACAATTGAAACTTTGTATCCTGGACTGGAGCCCAGCCTTCTGCTTGCTCTATGGCTGCCTCCGTTCCTGTTTGGATTTGTTTACCTTCTGTAATTGAAACTTTGTAGCCTTGAGTGGAGGTTTAGGCTAGCAAGGGCAGACAGAAAGCTTGGCTTCTTCCATTGCCTGGGAAACCCAAGCCTCCCTTCTGCTCTCTGTGGTCACAGCCATCTTGGTTGGGGTCAATTTGCATACTCACTCTGATTGGCTGGTGGGTGTGGCTAGTGGATGTGGCTTGTAGTGTAGTGAAGGTATGGTCAATTTGCATATTACTCTTATTAGATAAGATGTACCTCCATTTATGTAATATTCCAGCATTGTGCCATCCAACATAGTAACCCCTGGTCACAAGTAGCTATTTAAATATGAATAGCATGTTATATCTTTGCAAAAAGCAACCACTAATAAGTGTTGTAAGTGATTAAAACAAAATTTCCATCAAACACGTAGTCTTTTAGAATCAACTTTATTGAGGTATAATTTACATATAATGAAATTCACTGATTCTAAGTGTTCAGTTTGAGAAATCTTAACACATTATATTCCAGGTAGCCTTCACCACAACCAAAATAAAGGCTATTTCATTATCCTCAAAGTTCCCTTAAACCTGTTTTCAGTTAATCTCTCCTCACTGATGACCCTAGACAATTGCTCTCTTGCTTCCATCATTAAGTACTAGATGTATATCTTCTAGAACAGTATTGTCCAATAGAAATTTCTGTGATGAAGGAGCTATTCTATATTTGCACTCTTAGTGCCCAATGCCACTGAGAAAATGTGTTCTTATTAAATTTATGCAAACAAACAAACAAACAAATTCAAATCCAGAAAGAAAATAGCAGCTACCCTTATAGAAGTGCAGATATAATGCTTCAAGATATCAGAGGGAGTAGAGTTTCCTTTTACCTGGAGTGGTGAGAAAGGCTTCTTCTTCTTCTTCTTCTTCTTCTTCTTCTTCTTCTTCTTCTTCTTCTTCTTCTTCTTCTTCTTCTTCTTCTTCTTCAAGATTTGTAAGAAGTAGATATATGTTGATGGAGTTTAAAAACATTCTGGATGGAGTACAAAAAACATGACTCAAGGCAGGGGAGTAACTTGAAGAAAATTTAACCTAGTGGACAGAGTGTATGAAAAAGAGCAGTGTGAAATAATTTACATGAGATATAAATGACCCAGGTTTGTGATTTGAACACTTGTGTGTGGCAAAATGCACATCATCATCTGTGATGAGCAGGGAAGGAGAAAGTGTTCCAGACCCTAATGCTGCTGTTTCCTAAGCCCTCACTTTCCTCTTCATACAAATCAAAAGTCTTCACAAAACTGCATTCAAAGATGCAGATCATTGTTAGAAAGGCAATTGCCTTCTCCTAGGCTTTTGTAAACCTTATTCTATTACAATATCTTGACTAAGACACTTAATGTATTGGAAAAATATCTAACTTGCAAACCAAAAAGATATAATTATGTATCAGTAACCTGAGTGCCTTGGGGGAAGACAAATGAAATATACATATAAGTGGCAATTATGATAATCTATATACATATAACCCTAATATGCAAATATATAAAACAGTGGAACAACTAAAGACCTGAACAACAGGTCGCTATGATGTGCGCTGACCACCAGGGGGTGAGTGAAGAACATGGCAGGTGTCAGTAGACAGCAGGGTGCAGAACATGGCAGGTGTCAGTCGTGGTGGCATCGTGGAGCAGGTGTGCAGGGGTGTCAGACCAAGATGGGGCACAGGTCACTGTCAATGGAGTGAGCTGGTGATTACTGAAAATTTTTTGTTCCTAAACACCGCAGACTCACCCAGTGCTCCCACCTGCTGCCAGAGCCACCACTTGTACCCACTGCTGGCACCTGGTGCCTATACCTGGCGCTGACCCTGGTTGGTAGGGGCCATCATCAGGTGTGAGTGATAGCTGCCAGCCCCAGCAGCCCCTTGGGGCTTCTCTACCTCTCCATGCTCCTGAGGGGAGATCAGGGTCTGCAGTTGCTGCTCACACCTGCTGCTGGCACCAGCCCCAGTCACTCCACACTGTCAAGAGGATAAGAGTGGGGGCTGGTGCAGTCAGTGCATAGAAGTGGCAGAGGGAGTAGGGCTGCTGGCAGACAGGGAACTGGGGGCCATAGCAAGAGGGACTCAGCGAGGGCACAAAGAATGGGCCAAGACCCATCCTTGTGTCCACCACAACCTCACAACCACAGTTTCTTTCAAGGTGCACAGATTCATGCATCTGACCCCTAGTGATACTATGATTGTCACTTACTTTTCCAGGTTATGGATGATTGTGTGCTATAGTTATACTGTTGAATCCTAGAGAGTTTGCATTTTGGTCTAAGTAACTCTTTGCATTTATTTTCATAACCAATAGGAACCAATATTTTTTTATTTTTACTTATATAAAATTGTTTGCCAGTTAGTATCCATCCCTATTAGCTAAGTAAATTTAGGATGTCTTTAATAAAAACTATTCATGTCAGAACATACATTTTATTTAATTAATTATTTATTTATTTTAATCTTTATTGTTGAAATTATTACATATGTCACTCTTTTCACCCATTGACCCCTTCTATCCTGCCCCTGCCTGCACCCCATCCCAGGCCTTCACCACATTATTGCCTGTGTCCAGAGGTTTACATATTGTACATACATACAAGTTCTTTGGTTGTTTTCTTCCCACCCACTTCTGCCTTCCCTCTGGAATTTGACAGTCTGTCCCAAGCTTCTATGTCTCTGGACTATTTTTGTTCACCAGTTTATTTTGTTCATTAGATTTTAAATGTTTTTTAAACTATAAATTAGACTATAAACTTTTTAAAAATTAAAAACATTTTATAAATTGATAATTTATTTGGAAGTCTGCAGCCTCTCCTGGTGTTTTACAATATTTAGAACACTTCTGCTTATGTCTTGGACATCAATAAATATCAGGCCCAAGAAGAGCCCTAGGTCTTGCTACTCAAAGTGCAGCACAAGAACCAGCAACACTATTCTCACCTAGGAGCTCATTAGAAATTCAGAGTCTTAGGCCCTGCCCAGACCTGCTGAATCAGAATCTACATTAGTCAGATTTCCAGGCAACACTCAGGGGTATTAACATTTGAATAGCCTGGTGTTATAGATAATTATTTTACTTTGTCTTATCAATGGGAAAGGAAAGGCCTTGTGTGATGTAACAATTTACTCAAGGTCAAAGAATGTTGAGTATTTTCAGTTTAAACTAGGAATGTTAAGGTTATCTGCATTTGCCAATAGCAAGGAATAAAGCCAAACACTTTAACTCCAATTAACAAATCTATAGTTAATTAGTAAAATTATCTTCCCTTCACGTTTCATATTTTGTAGAACAGGCTGCCTGATTTGGCTGGGGCTCAGGCCTGCATGCTTGTGAATTTCACAATTCACAGATGTTAGACACTCTCAGGCTAAGTAAGGGAAGAGAATGTCAAGTTTTAAATAGCTTCTCCCTTCCATCCTGGCTGAAGCAACAAATAAATTTTTTTTTTTACAAATATAATTTGAATTTGAGTTTCTTCTAAAGAAATGCTAAATTCTCTGAAAATAACTGGATTATCTTCCAACTTTGCCCAACTACTGATGTCACCAGTTTACAGGTAACCTGTGAATAGACAGTGAATGGAAGATGTGAACTTGTCATGTTAGTGATACTGGGCACACACTGTGGGTTTTTTTTTTTTTTTTTTTTTTTTTTTTTTTTCCTGTTGGAGTCTATTTTAATTTAGCTTCTGAATCATATTTCATTCAATTCCAAATCCACAAAACCAGGATAGGTTTACAGCCTAATCTGAGAGGTAGTAAATTATTTGATATGTAGACTTTTTTAGTATTATATAAATTTTTGGATATATGAATAATTTAGTGGTTTTACTCCCAAGTAGGTCCAGCCAACGCAAAATAAAAAAACAGCAAAAAACAGTAAGGCATAAATAGCGATTGAGACAGACTGGTAGAGACTAAAATTATCTACAGTGTTTTCAGTAACAGGTGATTTGAAATAATTTTGCAAACTGCAAAATAAACTCAATAAAGTTTATTTTCTTTTATTTGGGACAGGCAACACTTCTTAGGGGAATGGATTTCTTTTTGTCTTAGTTAAGAGGAAGAGTGAGTTCTAGGTTAAATATAATCAAGGAATTTCCCTGTCTTTGCTATTTGAGATTGTGACCACAACAGGCGGTTGACTGAAAGGGAGAATGAAGAAGGGTGGAGGTGGGGGGGGAGGTGGAGATGAAAAAAACAAAACAAAACAAAACCACAAAACCTTTCTAAGCAGCTCTGTGAAAAATTTAGCTCCAGAGCAGCTACCGAAGTCCTCAAATCAAATCAGTATGCAGATACAAGGAAACCTTAATTAGCTCGTTCAGGGTGGACACTCCTCAGCTCAGTTCTGTTACAAAAGTCCAGGCTGCTGAAATTAAACTCTGATGCCATTCATGCCAGCATCCAATCACCAGAGAGACCAGAAGTTCAGAGATGCCTTTGAGTTGCCAACAAGTGTGGCCACTATATGTCAAGGACTCTAAAGCCGTGGGAGAGGGGGAAGAACATCTTTAGAGAGGATGCCCAGCTGGTAAGATTTAACCATTTCTGAAGCTTTAGTTACTTGATGAATCTCATTGGCTAAAAGCAAGAAACGCTCCGCCCCTTTGCAAATGTGTGAAGGGGGGAAGTGTCTAAACTTCTATGTCTTATAACAGTTGACCCTCTTGCTTTAAGCCTCCTGGCTTCCTATCTCTATATACACAGGTATATGTGTATACGTTATATAATTGTTCTCCATTTGTTGCTATCCAAGAAAATTGAAGGAAATGGATTTTGAAACTTCACGGTGTGCCACCCTACAGTACTGTCCCGACCCTTATATCCAGCGGTGAGTTTAAACATGACATAACTTCTATCAAAACTTAATTGGAGTGCCTTGTATATTTTGAGTGTTATGGTGTGTGCAAAGAGCCACCCCTTTTTGTTTATGAGCAGGTGATTTTATTTTGGACTTTCTGTGGTCTTAAGTTGGTCTTTTAAAAATTATTTTCTTGTTTTGGTTTATGTCTGAATAGACAAAGTGATTAAGTTTGAAGACAATCTTCCCATGGTTTCTTAAAAAAGATATCACCCAATTTTAAGATGTTTAAAATACGTTATTTGTTTACTCAGCACTCACCCATCCAAGAAGAAGAAATTTCATTGGCTAGGAATCATCTATGGATGATCAAGTCAAAATAAATACAGAAGAATTTTGATTTATTAAAAACAGATAGCTATTGTTATTGTCATAGAGATTATGGCTTATTATTTTGGCTCTAAGAAATACTTTCTTCTTAATTTGTTTCATAACAAGCACGTACTTATGAAAACTATGACTTTTAAAACATACAATTATACTGAATTTTACTTATGTTTATAGGAAGAAACATTTGCCGAGCACTAAGAAAGAATATTAGTGAGCACGCACAATGTGTTGTGTGTGTATGTGTTTCAATTTAGAGTTTGCTATTTTTAAACTGGTAAATGAAATCTGAACAGTGTTTTTCCAGTCACAAAGCTACAGGAGATATGCAAGTTGTATGTAGCAGTGTGATATTGTTAATTCAACAGCATGAGATTTGATGTTGAAATTCCATACTTTATTTTATAAAACTAATGGGAGGGAATCTCTGAGTGTTGATAACAGTAGGGTTATAAAGGGGTTAACTTGTAATTCACCGCCAGAGCCTGCTGGAGCCTCATATCAGAAGTAAGCAGGCTCTCTGGGCAGACCTGGGCTACTATGGCATTGCCTACTAGGCAATTATGGAAGATGTGTGATCTTTTATCATTAATGTCATTTGTCACCATGTAGAATACTGATGTGGACCACCTAGGTTTTGCTTCTCTCACTGTGAGGTTTCTGGTAGGCTGTATGAAAAAGCAGAAGAAAAGTAAGGCAGAAAGGTAAATGGAATGGTTGAGAGAGAAAGGGAGAAAATGAAAGAAAGAAAAAAGAAAGGAAGGAAGGAAGGAAGGAAGGAAGGAAGGAAGGAAGGAAGGAAGGAAGGAAGGAAGGAAGGAAGGAAGGAAGGAAAGAAGGAAAGAAGGAAAGAAGGAAAGAAGGAAGGAAAGAAGGAAGGAAGTAGAAACAAATTTGTGATCTTCCAGGATGAAATGGGAAATATGAATGATGTTTGATCCCTGCCTTGCTCTCTCTGGAGTTTATGTTCTTGGAGACCTTAAAAATTAGATTTAGTTGGATTGGGGATTTGATGGATACAGCAGGAAACACGAAAGATTTTCTATTTCTCAATGTTTTCTTCAGCCTCAAAAGTTTTCTATTCCACTAAAAATATTTTTAAATAATATTTCTAAGCACATAATGCTGAGGAAACATTGTATAATGCTTCCCTTAAGGGCATTTTCTTTCTGTTGATTAGCAACCCACATACTAATTATTATTAGTTAATAATCCTGTACACCTCTGTCTAAAGCAGCAATTTTCAACAGATGTGCCACAAGAATTTTTAATATCTATTTAATCAGGGTCACTGACCTCTTTTCCCTTTGATTATCAAATAAACAGATGACAACAGTCAACACAACAATAGCTGTCCATTGTGAATGCATCAAGATTATATCTAGTTTTTTTTTTTGTCAGATTGGCAAAAATGTGTGTGTGCGCGTGTGTGTGCGTGCGTGCGCGCGCACGCGTGCGTCACAGAATTTTAGTAATTAGCTTATGTGTGCCATGAGGTGAAAAGTGTTGGAAATAGCTGGTCTAGAGACATTTACAGTGATTGATGAGAGAGGCTTGTAAATATAAATAAAAGGAAGTTGCTTTTTATGTTGTTTCAACAAACTGTTAATTCGTGGAGAAAATATCATCTCAGTTTTTAAAAGATTGAGACATTCAAATTAGTAATTGTATTTTAAAATATTTAAAATTTTTCTAAATGCCCTGAGCTTTAATCTTAGTGAGTGTCACTTTTGGGGAGAGGAGGCAGGTATTTTGGGTACCTGTGAGATTTCATTGAAGAGTGGTCAGGGAATGTTTATTTGCCTAATAAATTGTTTTAGGCAAGATTATGTACTCCCCATTTGTAATGAAACTTAACTGGCAAGTAAAGAGCAGAAAACTATTTGCTGCTGGTCATTTACTCTGATCAAGGCACTGGAAATACAAAAATGAATAAGGTGTGGCTATGATGTTTATTTAATACTACAGTATTTATATATTTAATAATGTGTGTTTTATCAAATATTTAACTGTTTTTGCCACATAATTTAGGGAGTGAATTATTGCTCCTTTCCTATCTATACCACTTAGTGAGTAAATGAGTAAGTGAAAAATTACTAATATCTGATACCATATATTGCCAAAGCAAAAATCACACAATATTTTCTTTGATGCTTAATGAGTGAATAGGTTTGAGTTGTTTTTTTCTGAAGATAAACCCTTGTAGTTCTCAATTTACAAAATCTATTTTAACATAGACCAAATTTAATCATTCTAGTATAATCATAGTCATCTGCATAGTTAAATTTGTCATTTTCTTGTCCTTTTCTTTAGAAAGAAGTCACAAGAAAGAACATTCAAAAAAATAAGGAAAAATACCATGTTATTTTTAACTCCAAGTTACCTTAACACATGAATTTCCTTTTATCACAGAACAGAATAAATGAGAGAGGTTATTATTATTTATTACTGAATGTTAATGGCAGGCCCAAAAAGCTAATTTTGATAGATATTTCAAAATATGAAATGATAATCATTCTCAGTTAAAAATGAGATTTAACCCCCTGTTTTATCTTTGTGTCTGAATATATTATGCATTTAATTGTTCTCTGAGGTTGATCCCAATTTACTCCAGTCTTTGCAAAAACTCATCTGAAAATTAATAAAGCAGTTCAACTACAGATCTTAGTCAATGATAACATTGACCATTGCAAAGAAGAGGTGACAAAATTACATCTTGTCATTTTATTGCTCACTTAATTCTAGCAAAAATGTCAAAGCATAGATGAAATTATGCAAGATCAATAAACAATAGCCAATGAGTAAGTTACCATTTCTTTATAATAAAAACTTCATAAAATAAATTATGTTTATTTAATTTTTATTATGTAAATATTAAAATAAATAGAAATTTTTAATTTAGAAGCTAAATATTTTTAATTTATTTGTGGGGTTATAGTTTTGATGTCCTTGAATCTTATTACATCCTTAGAATTGCCATTTATGTTTTAAAATAGGATTTTTAACAAAGAAATACTAAAAGAATAAATTCTTTCAAAATAAGCTAAAACTGTCAAAGTACTGTGAAGATGAGTAAGAAGTATTTCCTGTACAAATTACATATTGATTGTGAGTGTTACACTTTTCCAGTTTAAAGGCCAATTTTATTATTAACTGTTATTTCTAAATATATTCCAAAAGAAGGGTGGTAACAGTTAACTTATAGTGGAAAATCAATACATTAAAATAATATAAAGGCATATGTAGTTCTGTGTTGGGTGTCCTCCACTTGCTTCTTTTACATCTGCCTTCTATTCTTCTCCTTCTTGTTCTATAACCCAGAAAGTTAACTTCTAAATATCCTGTTGACAGTTCCTTTCATCTCTGGTTTCCTCTTCTGTCAACCACTGGGAACCTCTAATAGGAGATCAAAGGATACAAGGAGAGTGAAGTTGGGATATATGTTTTCCTGGCCATCTCTCTGGGTTTTCTATAAAATACTATAGGCCATGTCAGAGACATCTGCCACAGGTCCAGTGTGTTGAGTTCAAGTAAATGACCCCCCTCTCTCCCTCCCCTTCAAACTTAGGTTTGATAACTATTCCTAGCTATTGTTAGCTCCAAAAAAACATATGAAATCTCTTATCCCTTGATAGTCTCTTTATTTACTCTTTGTTCAGTGTTTTTTCACTGCCAGAACCATGGCAAGTACAAAAATAAGTATATGTCCATAATGTGATGTGCACAGGCAGACTTCCAAAATAGACATAACATATAATAATACAATATATTTCTGATGTGAGATAAAAGATGTATCTACCCCTTTCAGTAAGCAAACCAGTTTTTAGTAAGGCCAATTTTAGACATCTCCATAATCACTATGTTTCTCTATCTGACCGAATGAATTGAGTCTACGTGCTGGAGTCTGTGTATATTGTTCATATCAGTCCTTCAAATGGAACAAGTCAGAGGGTGGAAAGAATGATTTCATAAAAAATATGAAGGTACAATTTATCAACAGCAAGGAATGTATCTACCAGTTGCAATCAAGAAAGAGTCACTTTAAGGCCTTACAATTTTTAGAAGAATAAGTTTTAATAGACCTTTAAAGCCAATTATAGCTAGCCAAGAAGCAGGATGTGGTATAATTATGTATGCTGCTCCAGAGCTATGAGTGCATTTAAATGGTAGAGAATAGGGAAGCATGTTAACGTGGTGCACAGAGGACCTGTTAAAAGATCTGGATAATAATTTTAACTCTATCACTAAATAATGATGTGGCCCTCATGAAATCATTTAATCTGTCTAAATCAAAGGTTTCTCATAAGGTAAGTATGGATAACAAACTATTCACAAATAAGACTTTGAGAATTAAATATGAACCCAACTAAACTGTGAAATCCATTTCCTTAGTGTATTTCCTCAGCCCTGAAGGAATACACCGCAGGCTGGGGATTCTTTCCCAGTAACATTGTGTCTTCATGTAAGCATGCCTTATGTTCCATTTTGCTCTATATAATCTTTAAATTAAAGACAAAGGTCATTATGGGTCTTGGACATGATTTTGGCTTGTCTTCCTCAATTCTTATACTTAAGAGGTTAGGGGTTAAGTGATTTGCCCAAAATCATACAACAAAATAGTAGCAGAACAAAGTCTGGAATTC